CGCGGAGCACCCCCCTCGTCCCCCTACTTACGTCCCCCCCATCCTGCCCTCCCATCCCGAGCACTTCCTCCCCCCCCTACCCCCCCCCTCTCTCTCTCTCCTCTCTCTCTCTCCCTCTCTCCCTCTGTCTCTCTCAGTCCTCTCTCCTCTCCTCATCTCTCTCTCTCTCTCTCTCCTTCTCTCTCTCTCCATCGCCCACTCTCCTTCCGTCCCTCCATCCCCTCCGCCATTTCTCCCTCTTCTTCTCACCTCCTCTCTCTCTCGCTCTCTTCTCTCTCTCTTCTCTCTCACTCTCTCTCTCTCTCCTCCCCTCTCTCCTCTCTCTCCTCTCTCTCTCTCTCTCTCTCAGGTGGGAGCAAGGACCCCCCCCCCCTCAGCATGCCCCCGCCCTACGCGTCAGGTTGTTCTCCGACGGGGGTGGCCCTCGACCACACCGGCCAGCCGCGCCCACCGCAGAGAGTCTTCTGTCTGAGTTAAGGAGGAAGGGAAGAGAGAAAGAGGAAGAGAAAAGAAGAGAGGAGAATGAGATTAAAGAAATAGGATTTTGGGGTCTTAGTAGAAATTGTATTTTTACGGTTTTTTTTTATTGAAAGGTATATTTTGCGGTGCTTCGTTAATCGTATACTTTTTTACTTATTCAGTTTTATACCGATAATAAAACATATGTAACTTTTGATCTGAAAGCATTAATTGCATTACTATTGTTTGCGAATGTCACATGCAAACACCGTGCCATCTCTAAAACTCTCATTGTATTCTTGATCTTATCTTCAGTCTATAAATCACGCTTATACATAACATATTTATATAACTGTTTTGCTAATGGGGCTCATTTCTTCATCCAAGAGCAATTTCTTTCAAGAGCCAGTATGTAAGCGTTATGAACTGGTATCCCCTTACCTAATCAGCATTCATAGGTGACCCTGTGCTCCTGTCTTCCCTGAGTCAGCCCTTTCGGCGATTACTCAACCGACAAGCTCAGGGTGAAGAGAGGTTCCACATATTTATAAAGCCATTTATGACTCCTTTCTGAATCTTGTCACAAAAATTTTGCTTTTTCGGTGGAAAAAAAAAGACAAGACAGTGTATAATATTCGTTAGCAACAGTATATATGTAGCCATGTGCTTTAGTGACAAATTTAGCTTTACAACAGTGGAAACTAGTGTATTCAGCGGAAGGATCTTTTGGTAATCCCCATTTTCTTTAGTTTCCCCAAAATCGCACACTCGTTTTCTATGATTACGGAGGTCGGTTAGCCATTATAAAGTCCAAGCACTCGCGCGTGGATCGGCCTGACCCTGGCACGGATTAGCCTGTCGTTGCCATTGCAAGCGCCGGGCGGGGAGTCCTACGAGGAGGAATCCGAGGACAGGACGCCGCTTTGGTTCGGCTGAAGCAGGAATAAACGGCCTCCTCCTATAAATAATGATTGGTGTGATTTAGATTAAAGCAGATTTGAAAATAAAGTGAGTGCATATATGTGTGTGTGTGTGGGAATGTATTTTGATCAGTAGGAGGGCAAGGTCATCCCCCAAAAGTAGCCGGGGGAGGTCCTGCTCCAGTGGGGGGGGGGGCGAGGAGCGTCCGGGTTCAAATACGGAAGGTTCGCTAGCTTCCGTTTAGGTTTAATTCGTGTAGAAATATACTTATTTAAACCACTTTCATTGTACAGACTCAAAATAATCAATTTCAAATTCCTCCTTAATTTCTTTCGACAAACGGATAATGCTCCATTGGGCCGGCTGTTATTTAGGCACGACGCCTTTTAGTTGGTCGACGCTTTCTGGGGTCACCCGCGGCCGGTCAGGTCACGTCGTACGCAACTTGACGGGGGAAATGCGTTTCATTATTCGATGTCTGAGCACTAAACGGCCACTACACTGCACACACACCACACAACACACAAAAACACACACACACACACACAACAACACACACACAAGTGCAACCACACGCCACCACATCAACACACACACACACACACAACATTCACACACACACACCACTATATGTGTGTGTGTGTCTGCGTATTTCAACTATAATCTTGAGATTATCCAAGGACACTCTATTCCAAACAAATATCTCACCTTAGTTTTTTTTTTTTTTTTTTTTTTGGGCGGGGGTAGACTCTCACGGGCACGTCCTGAGGCACGGTGCCATTTGTCGTTTATATAATTTTCCTCACAATGAGTTACGTGATGTCTAGTGCATGTCACGTGGCAGAGAGGTCAAGGCGCAAGGAATAGATAGGTGAACAGGCAGATAGATAGATGAAGAAGGGAAAAAGAGAAAGGAGAATGAAATGGGAAGGAAGGAGAGGAAGAGTAGGGAGATCGAAAAGGAGACTGACAGGAGAAGGAAGAAAGTGGGAGAGAGAAACAAAATGTCAATAATGCATATACACGAGTAGATCATGAGATGGATAGATAGATAAATAGTTAAGTAGATAAACTGATGAACTGATAAATAGATAGATATACATATATATGTGTCTATTTGAAGAAGGGGCAGAGGCGACCCTCCATGACCTTCCTTCTTGACCTTCGTCAGGTGTTCCGTCGGGGTCCTGCTCCTGATTCCGTGGGCGTCGCAGTCGAGGCATCCTCAGAGCGCCCACGCCCTCGCCAGCGTGGGCGTGGTCCTCGCCCTCGTCACCTCCACGCTGCTCCTGTACGGGCGCCAGGGACTCATGTCCGTCGAGCAGTATGCGGGTGAGACAAAGACGCACGCACGCACGCACGCATTTATATGTGCAATGTATATCGTACGTGCAAAAGCCATGTTTAGAACTACAGCACGTTTGGTCACGTGATTTTGCAAAAAACGAAGAGATAATCATGGAAATAAATAGCCCTCGCCCCTTTGAATGACCCTGAATGACCTCTGAGATGACTCCTCCCTCTCTGGAACTGACCTCCTGGAGATGACCCCTCCACCGAAACTGACTTGTGAAATGACCCCTCTCTTAAAACTGACCCCTGAACTGACCTATGAGATGACCCCTCCCCCTGAACTGACCCCTGAAATGACCCTTCTGCCTGAACAGACCCCTGAGACGACCCTCCCCTCGACTGACCTCCTGAGAAAGACCCATTCCCCTGAACAGACCTCAAAGATGACCCCTCCCTGTGATGAAATGACCCTCCCCCTGAACTGACCTCTCACCCTGCATTGACTTCTGAGATGACCTCTCCCCCTGAACTGACCCCTGAGATGACCCTCCCTGTCTCCCCTGAACTGACCCCTGCCCCTCCCTGACCTCTCCCCCCCCCTCCAGCTCCCCCAGGTGAGGAAGGTGCCTCCGTCGGGTTGAAGTTCATGAGGCGAGTCCTCGCCCGCGCCAGACCAAGTTCCTGGGCTTCGAGACCTCTACATGAAGATGAAGAATTTGTCGGTTTTGGTCAACCAGGTGATGGGTGGGGGGGGGGCGGGCTGATTCTGCTTGTCTGTTTGTTTGTCTTTGTTCGTCTTTCTCGTTCTTTGTCTCTCTCTCTCTCTCTCTCTCTTCTTTCTTCTCTCCCTTTCCTCTCTCTTCTCTCCTCCTCCCTCTTCCTCTCTCTCTCTCTCTCTCTCTCTCTCTCTCTCTCTCTCTCTCTCTCTCTCTCTCTCTCTCTCTCTCTCTCTCTCTCTCTCTCTCTCTCTCTCTCTCTCTCTCTCCTCTCTTCTTCTCTCTCTTCTCTCTCTCTCTCTCTCTCTCTCTCTCTCTCTCTCTCTCTCTCTCTCTCTCTCTCTCTCTCTCTCTCACTCACTCTCTCTCTCTCTCTCTCTCTCTCTCTCTCTCTCTCTCTCTCTCTCTCTCTCTCTCTCTCTCTCTCTCTCTCTCTCCTCTCTCTCTCTCTCTCTCTCTCTCTCTCTCTCTCTCTCTCTCTCTCTCTCTCTCTCTCTCTCTCTCTCTCTCTCTCTCTCTCTCTCTCTCTCTCTCTCTCTCTCTCTCTCTCTCTCTCTCTCTCTCCTCCTCCTCACTCCTCTCTCACTCTCTCTCTCTCTCTTCTCTCTCTCTCTCTCTCTCTCTCTCTCTCTCTCTCTCTCTCTCTCTCTCTCTCTCTCTCTCTCTCTCTCTCTCTCTCTCTCTCTCTCTCTCTCTCTCTCTCTCTCTCTCTCTCTCTCTCTCTCTCTCTCTACTCTCTCCTCTCTCTCTCTCTCTCTCTCTCTCTCTCTCTCTCTCTCTCTCTCTCTCTCTCTCTCTCTTCCTCCTCTCTCTCTCTCTAGTGTGTGTGTTTCTCTTATATTCTATGTTCTTTGTCTATCTGTTTCGAATATCTTCTTTTCGTTTCCCTTTTTCTAAATATAATTCCAAAAAACAAATTCCACAATTCCTTTATTTTCTGAATGCATTTTCTTTAGTCAGATGAATGAATATACCAAACATGCCTTTCATTTCACTCTTCGACACTTCAAATCTATGATGAGACAAAGACCTCCATTATCTTATTACGTAAATGAATGTCTTATTCCCAGCGATATGCGTTATACTACAGGTGGTATTCTTCAGTCTGTGTGAACGGCTGATGCTGTCCAATCAGAGGACGTCGAGCCTGTACACGCTCATGTTCTTCAATGTCGTTGCGTACTGCGTGGCCTATGTCAAGGTCAGGTACCAGCTGTGTTTTGAAGTGTTTTGTTTTATTATCTTTAAAAAGGTGTTTGTCCCTTGGTTGATTTTTGTGGGAATTGATTTGGTGGCTTGATTTGTTTTTTTGTTTTTTTTTTAAGGTATTCGTTCACTTGATTGATTGACAAGGGGTTGATTTAATGATTTGCTTGATTGGAATTGTGTTTCACTATTGATTATTATTGTTTTTAGTCTTTTCTCTCTAATATGATCTTCTGATGTCTTTCTTTCCGTATTTACTCTCATATCTCTCTCTTTCTCTTTCTCTTCTTCCTCTCTCTCTCTCTCTTTCTTCTCTCTCTCTCTTCTCTCTCTCTCTCTCTCTCTCTCTCTCTCTCTCTCTCTCTCTCTCTCTCTCTCTCTCTCTCTCTCTCTCTCTCTCTCTCTCTCTCTCTCTTTCTCTCTCTCTCCTTCTCTCTCTCTCCTTCTCCTTCCCCGTCTCCTCCCCTTTTCCTTTTCCTGTCTCCTCCCATTCCCCTTTCCCCCCTTTCTTGTCTCCTTCCGTCCGCCCTTCCCTCCCTTCCTTTTCCCTCTCCTTCCCACTACATCTCCCACCTCCTCTCCGCCACGCCCTCTCTCTCCCCGCCCCCCCCCTCACCTCGTAGCGCCCGCCGCCTCCTTTCGAGGGCGTCCCAGCGATCGAATGTCCCCCTCGTTCCCCCGCAGGAGCTGATCGAGCGCGAGGACTGGAGCATGTACGTCAACATCGCGCGCACATCGAACGTCCGCCACCTGGCCCTGTCCGCCACCAAGATCGTGCTGGAGTGGACGAAGGCGATCACCTTCATCATCACCGTGGTGTTCATGCTCCTCGTCTTCGGCCTCGAGAAGGGGCTCAAGAACTACACCCCGACGACCGCCTACCTCGTCGTCACCGGGCTGTACTTCCTCGTCACGGAGAAGGTGTTCATGGACATGGTCGCCTCGTGGCTGGAGAACAGGAGGTTCGACTACTTCGAGAGCCTGGAGACCTTCTACGTGCCGGCGCTCATCCTCCTGCTGCAGCTCTCCTCGTCGGCGCTCATGACGGGGCTCTGCGTGTTCACCGGGAACCTCAGGCTCGTCTTCCTGTCGACCTTCACGAACATCAGAATCAAGTACCGGGAGCTGCAGGAGGGCTACGTCAAGCCGCTGCGCCACGAGCTGGAGGCGCTCGAGCTCTACCGCGTCGCCACGCACGCGGAGCTGGCGAACCACGACGACGTGTGCGCCATCTGCCTCACGCCCATGACCTGCGCGCGGATCACGCCCTGCCAGCACTTCTTCCACGCGGACTGCCTGCGCCGGTGTCTCAAGGGCAGCAACAAGTGTCCCATCTGCCAGTTCCACTTTTTGTGATCCGACGAGGCTCTCCTCTCTTCGATGTTGCTTTCCCATTCTTTCCTTGTCTCTCTCTGCTCTGGACTTCTGTTTCAAGGGTTCCTCTCTTCCTGAGACATGTGATAACTAGATGTATAGAAAAAAATCTTCCGAATATTAAGAGATACCAATTTAAAGAAGAGCCTTTAATTTAATACGTATTAGTAGATAAGGTATCAATTTAAGTCATATTCAGAAAATAATGTATGCATGAATTCACACTTTATAACCGCAATAGATTTAAGAGATTGAGAAAAGTCACAAAAGATTTTTTTTTGAGATTATTTTTTATTTAATTACGAAATGCCCTGAAAGAATTATTTCGATGTACGGATATATGAAAATACATATTTAAATCAAGGAAATATTTTATTTTTATGTCCTTACCAACAACTAAAGATATATTTTATTCAATATCCTTTTTCATGGGTAGGATAATTTGCCCAAAATACAATAATACATACGCAGGATGGCTTTTCCGAATTATATGCAAATTGTATATCAATGGTGAATGATGCAAACAAGTAAACATTAATGATTCTGTAATGACGGTTTCATAAAACATGAGAATTCAGTGAAAAATACTCCCACCCACATTTACAGACGCAACAAATCAGTGATATATAAAATGAAGTTCCTTTTTCCACCCCTTAAAATTTTAGCCTCCAGCGCCAGGATTAGAGGCAGCCGGCGGTGACAGCGCTGAGGGAAGCCGGCGCCCCTCGAGCACCAGACGCAGTGAGTCCTGTGACGTTGAAGTGGTACTCGGAGCACGCGCTCAGGCCGGCCACGTCCTCCTCCGCCTGGAACTCCGAGGACGCCACCGTCTTGGAGTAGGAGGACCCGTCAGGAGCTGACCACTCGAGGGCATACTGGCTCGCGCATCGACCGTTCTCCTCGGGTCGATACCACACCAGGGTCACGGTCGAGGCGGTCGCTTCCAGCACCTCGAAGCTCCGTGGCTCGCTCGGGACGTCCTCCGTGGTCGAGGCCAAGGTCGACACCCACGGGCTGGCCTGCTTATCGCTCGACACGGCTCGCACGCGGACCTCGTAGCTCGTGCAGGCTTCCATGTCGGAGAAGATACTCTCGTGAAGGTACTCGGGCCGCGAGGAACGTCGGTGGCCGTCGAGTCTGATCTGCTGGATGTCGTACTCGTTGGCGCACTGGGGGTGGGTCGTCGGGGGGTCGTAGTCGATCTCGATGGAGTGCGCCGTCTCCCGCGTCACTCTGAGGTTCTGGGGCTCCCCGGGCTCTGGGGGGGGGGGGGGGGGAGGCCGGCGTTAGGTGGTAGGAAGGATAACTTGTTGATGACAGACGTAGCATAGTAACAGTGGATGAAATAACATATAATGATAATGATACTGCTACAACTACTACTATTATTAATGATAATTATAATGACAATAATGATAATGGTGAAAGTAATAACAATAATGATAAAAATAATAACAATAATGATAATAATGATAATAATAATGATAATAATAATAATAATAAAAACAATAATATGAGAAAAAGTAGATTTCACCTTAATCTGCAGTGCCATAGATTAAAAAGTACGTAAAATTATCATCCACCCAGCAACAGATCACAAAGCAAAACAAAAGTCAACGCAGACCTAAAAATCATCAAAAGACGACTCGTTACTCACGGACATCGAGCGTGCGCGACGACTGAGCCGTCCTGTTGCTGACGACTCCCGAGAAGGAAACCGTGTTGACGAGAACCGTGTAAGGCGTGCAGGGCTTGAGGTCGCGGAGGCTAATCTCCTTCTCCTTTACATCCTGGCACGTTTCGTAGGGCGTGGTCGGCTCGTAGTAGCACACGTGGTAGTGGTCGACGCAGGTCTCCAGAGACGCCCAGGCCACGTGCAGGGAGCTCGTGTTGGCGTTGCTCACGAGGAGGCTGTTGACGGGCTCGGGGTCTGGTGGAAGGGGTGGGGGAAGGACTCAGTGGATAGAGAAACGTTTTGGATAGAGAAACGTTTTGGATAGAGAAACGTTTTGGATAGAGAAACGTTTTGGATAGAGAAACGTTTTGGATAGAGAAACGTTTTGGATAGAGAAACGTTTTGGATAGAAAAACGTTTTGGATAGAGAAACGTTTTATGTGGACTTTGGAAGGGTTGGGAGCAGGACTCAATAGAGAAACGTTTCAAGGATGTGGACTTTGGGAGGGTTAGGAGGAGGATCCAGTGGATAGAGAAACGTTTTATGTGGACTTTGGGAGGGTTGGGAGCAGGACTCAATAGAGAAACGTTATAAGTATATGGACTTTGGAAAGGCTGGGAGGTAAATGTAACAGAAAGATTTTCTGGGAGGATTATATTCGTTGTGTCTTTGATACTGAATATCGATAGCTAGTTGATTTCGTGATCATCGTGCTGTAAAAATGATATTTCTTCGGGTGTTAACCACGCCCTCATAACTAATTTTAAAAAACGCTCCAATTAAACACAAGAACTCATTCTTAACTAACCAAATATTCCTTGCCGAACCTTAGCCAACCCCATTTGCATATACACACACACATAACTGATAACATATACACAGCCCTCATAACTAATTCAAATATGTGGTCCAATTAAACACAACATTTATATAACGCATAACTGATAACATATACACAGCCCTCATAACTAATTCAAATATGTGGTCCAATTAAACACAAGAAATTCTTAACTAACCAAATATTCCTTACCGAACCCTAGCCAACCCATTCGCACACACACACACACACAAAAACGCATCAATCAAAACAAACAAAATCTGCCTCCTCGTTTATCCGACGCACCTGGGTCTTCCAGCGTGGCAGCACTTCGCCTCACACCCGGCCCTGACTTCCCCGTGACCGAGACTGCAAACACGTCGATGGTGTAGTTCGTGCAAGGGAGAAGAGGTGACACCGTGGCAAAGTGCTCACCTCGAACGGCCGCTTCTGCGAGGTGGACCGTTTTCTTCACCTCGCCGTAAGTGATGACGTATCTATAAAGGAAGATATTTTGAGTTCTTCGAAAATCGGAAAAGAAGACGATAGTCATCTGATGATAATATCGTTGATAGCATTGTTTTGCGAGTGTTTTTTATGTGGTTTAATTGACGTTTGTGTGTTAGTGTGTGCTAGTGTGGTATGATGATCGTATTGGTTTTACTTAAATCCAAGAAATGATTACGTGAAAATAAGAGGGCAGATTTGTCATTTTCGGAATGATAATTTTAGATACTTGAAGTGTATTTTGACTAAAAAGTCTTATAGATTCAGGATGTAATATTCACGTATTGTATAAGAGCTGTGTAATAGAGAAAGGCGATGAGCTGGCTGAACCTTTCAATTTCATCTTTACTTCAAGTATTTCAAGCACTCGAGACTTATATAGAAAATAGATAACTGCATGATAACAAAAATACTTCCTCTGCAATGATGATAAACATAATGAACCTCAAAGTTAAAGCATAGTAAATCTTAATAGGCCTGAAGATGAAATCCAAATTCTAAAATCACGTGATCAAAGGATGAAATCTAAAACCTAAAAATAAGAAGCCTCAAGATGTATCTAAATATAAGGCACCCCCCCCCCCCCCCTCGCCCCCCAGGCAAGGCAACGGAACCCGACCCGCGACCGTGAGCGAATCTGCTTCGAATACCTGTCGATGCAGTGAACCCGAAGCAGAGGATCGTCCCACGTGATGGTGACCGAGTCCTTCTTCACGAGGTCCACCAGCACGTTGCGGGGGGCTTCGGGCTCTGGAAGGAGGGAGGGGGTCAAGGGGCGGTTAGGAAGGGTGGGTATAGGCCGTAGATAACAGTGTAGCCACAGCTGTTTTTATGGACACACACACATGCGGATACTAGCATACCCACATCGTAGATAAAAGAAAACACAAGTATACAAAGATATAAACACCTAAGTATCTCCTCTCACCCTTTCTTTCCATTATTATTCTTTTTTATCACCTGTATCCTCGTTATTGACGAGAATCGAACAAACACCAAATATTCCTTTCCTTCACCCCTTCCTAGAAAACAAAAACATTCCCTTTTCTCTCCCTCTCCTTCCCTCCTCTTCCCCCAATCACCTGCATCCTCGCTGTTGACGAAGAACTCGAGCAAACACCCAAATATTCCTTTCCTTCGCCCCCTTCCTAGAAAAAAAAAACATTCCCTTTTCTCTCCTCTCCTTCCCTCCTCTTCCCCAATCACCTGCATCCTCGCTGTTGACGAAGAACTCGAGCAAACACCCAAATATTTCTTTCTTTCGCCCCTTCCTAGAAAACAAAAATCCCTTTTTCTCTCCTCTCCTTCCCTCCTCTTCCCCAATCACCTGCATCCTCGCTGTTGACGAAGAACTCGAGCGCCTGGCTGCGACGTCCCGAGGGGGAGAGCGCCCTCACCGACACCTGGTAGACGGCGCAGGCCTCGATCCCCAGCAGCGTGTAGGTCGAGAGCGCCGTCCGTTCGCAGATCTCGGAGGCGTCGAAGCCGAAGGGGCGGTAGCACACCTGTCGGTCGGGCGGAGGTTGGGAGAGGGTCGAGGGATTTCGTTGTGTTATGCGGTTGTTGGGTAGGCTTGTGCATGGATGAATGGGTGTCTTTGTGTTTGTTTGTGTGTATGTTTATTCGCTTATTCATGGGATACATGTCTTTATGTGATGTCTATAAGCAAGTAGATGTGTATGTGTGTTTGTATGTATGTATATTTGTATGTATGTATGCTTGTATTATGTTTGCATGTTTGCGTTATATTTATGTATGTATATATGCTTGTATTTATATATATGCATTTATACTCATTGACTAAATGCATACATATAAAGTAAGTTTGAATACATGTATGAATGTATGCATATATGTATGTATTTTCCATTTCTCTCCCTCTCTATAATCAGCTGATATATTTCCCCCCAACCCACGTACCTCGAACTGGCTGACGCATTTGGAGCTGACGGCGTCCCAGGATACCGAGATGGTACTTAGGGTGGCGTTCACCTGCTCGCCGTTGGAGGGCATTTCAGGATCTGTTGGAGAAATTGGTCATGCAGTTGATATTGCGAATGTACTCTTTATAAGACCAACAGGTTAAGAAACTATCGAAGAATTATGTATCTAATAGACAGTAAGCTAACGAAAAGACAGTGACATTTTTTCATTGTATTACTTATACTTATGCAACATTTAGTGGCTTTAATATTTTGATTTGATAACATAATACACCAGCTGCCCTATGACCAAAACACTCTTCTGGTATCCAGTGTAGTTTCTTTATTACACGCCGGTTGCCATGTGACAAAACACCATTCATTACAAGTTATTTTCATCCAAGAGCACTTACCGGTGTCCAGTGTAGTGGCCTTCGTGAACGCCGGCTGCCCTGCACGGTCTGCCTCTCCTACGTAGAAGTGCGGCGTGAGCTCGAAGGACTGGAGGGTGCAGGGGTTGAGGTAGGTCACGTTGCGGCGGCAGACGGACTGTGTGGGTGGAACGCATGCTTGGGTTTCAGTCCTAAGAGGGTTTCAACTCTTATGGATATTTCTCTATATACTGTACGGATATTGTTTATACGAAATGAAATGAGAATCGAGAGACTTTCAGCCGTAGTGTTGGTTAAAGTGAATGGGCTTTTTTAACTGGATGTTGCATATGCAGTATATTATCAAAAGCTGTAGCCTATCACGATAATACATTCTAGTTAAGCTCCAGTTCTTAACATTGCACCATCACTAAAAACAAACACAAAAACAGAAACTACCTATCCATAATCAGAGCCAATCCACCAACCTCTCCAACTTAGCGCATCAATAAAAAGTGAATGAATAAAATAATGTATGAATAAATAAATAAATGAATATATAAACCATGAATCTATCTACACGCAGCTCTTCTTCCAGCGCTTACCTCCAAGCACAAGAATTCCTCCGTAAAGTCGTTGTTGATTAGGAGGCGGTACTTGTGAAGATCCAGGTCAGACGAGGTGATTTCCCAGCGCAGGAGCACCCACGTCTCGCCCACGTCTTCTGCCTCCAAGTCCAGGATGTACCCTGTGTGTATGAGGGAGAGAGGGAGAGGGAGGGAGGAGAGAGAGAGAGGAAGAGAGAGAGAGAGAGAGAGGAGAGGAGGAGGGAGGAAGGAAGGGAGGAAGGAAGGAGGAGGGAGGAGGGAGGGAGGGAGGGAGGGAGGAGGAGGGAGGGAGGGAGAGGGGAGAGGGAGAGAGAGAGAGAGAGAGAGAGAAAGAGAGCATTTAGACAAGTTTGCCCATGCTGTGTATCTAATGAGAAGCAGTAATAATGGTTACATTGGCATCTATGATGGTTAATCATAATGTTATTAATACAAGCAGTTTTGATAACAATAATATGAACGAAGGGCCGTCACAGACACGCCAGACACCGATCCACTCTAAAGACATACCTCCCAGAGCCCCCATGTCGATAACGCACTTCCCAACGTTCCCCTGCGTATCCACACCAATAATATCCACTTGAGAGGAGCAGCAGTCGGCAGAGTACGTCACATTCACCAGTTCTTTGGTGCCAGGAGCCAGCCCGGCCACCACGGACGCGAAGCCATCGGGACGAGCGTAAACGTTGCTCAGACCTGCCGAAACGATGTAAACGTTCGTGATAACGTTTAGGCTTTGACGTTTTCCTGAACTCCAAAGTATCAATGCTGTAAAGTGCTTGCTTTTTATGTAATATCGGCTATTGAGAATATTCCCTACTCATTTAGATTCCAGTATACCTGTAGTTACGTCCACGGAAGATTTTATTTACAATTTCTTATTTTCTTTAGGAAGTTAGAGGTAAGAGGGAAAGGAAGTTAGTGCTGTACTGTATTCCCAGCTTGATATAACTGCATTAAGATACGATATTTGTTGCATATCATATCCTTGCACTTATATATTATATACATTGTTACTGGAATTTTCTAAATTGCGAATCACCTACCAGAGCCAAGGTCCTGGAGAGTTGCTTCGACTGTCCAGTTCTTTTGGCTGCAGATGCCGTTGTAGGTGAACCCGGTGCAGTCCGGTTCGCTGGCGAGAGTGCAGGTCGGGGGAATGTCATCCACCGTCTGGAATAAAAAAAAAAAAATGCAACAGCCAGGGATACTTTTTGAAATCGTTTCTATAACTTAATTTACCCTAAGACAAATGTAATTGAATTTTTCATTTCTTGACATACGTTCAAAAACTGTTAGAGTTCGCCCGAGTTTGATGCTGATGCCTGAATATCAAGTCGTGAAAGAAGTATAATGCATAATGAAACTATCCATTATCATTCCTAGCTTCTACGATCAACCATCACCTTATTCTTCTTCTCTCCCTAAATAACCCATTAACCTTTTCCCGAATTTCGTGTTATTCATCACTCTCCGGTACCTCAGATCTCCTCATGGTGGTCTGAACAACTAATACTCTACTTTCACAGTCCTATACTTAAAGTCACCATATTTGATTCACAGTACTCTGAACACTTTCCCTGCAATGATCTTATGAATATAGAATCTACAATTAAAAGTACAATCAAAATTGCACTCTCCTCAACCTCCCTGAATAAAAAAATAAAAAAAAAAAAAAAACTAGAGGAAATGTAAAAGTCCCAACCCAAAGAAAATAAAAAAGAAATGCAAAGACATCCGACATATTCCATAAAGATTCAAAGAAAATAAATAGAAAACAAATGCAGAAACATCTTAACACCTTCCCTCCCTTCCCTCCCAAAAAGAAAAGAAAAAAAATGCAAAACGCCCCAACATCTTAAAAGAAAATAAATAAAAGACAAAAGCACACCCATCCTCCCATTCTCAAAGAAACGTCAGCAAAGCAAACTGACCTTCGGCACGACGTGGAAGTGGGTAATGGCCGTGTTGACAGAATACGTCTGTTTGAGGCTCTGTGCCGTGACCATGACCGTGCTGACAGTGCCAGGGGCGGTGTCAGTCTTCACCTTGAAGTGCGCCGTCACCGTCCCGCTGCCGCCCTCCGTCAGGTGGATCCTGGTGTTGGGTGGAGAGGGGCTTTGAGTGAGGTGGAAGGGGGCTGTGGGGGGATCAGGCAGAGGTGGAGGGGCTTTAGTGAGTGGTGTTGAGGTGGAAGGGGGCTGTGGGGGGATCAGGCAGAGGCTTTAAGTGATTGGTGTTGAGGTGGAAGGGGGTTGTGGATGAATCAGGCAGAGTTGGAGGGGTTTGAGTGAGTGGTGTTGAAGGTGAAGGGGTGAGCTCAGGAGAGGTGGAGGGGCTTTTGAGTGAGTGGTGTTGAGGTCAGGCAGAGGTGGAGGGCTTTGAGTGTTGTTGAGGTGGAAGGGGTTGTGGATCTGGAAAGCAGGAGTTGGAGGGAGTTCGAGGGTGAATGGTGTTGAGGTGGAAGAGCACTGTGGGTGAATCAGGTTTTAGATGAATCAGGCTGAAGTGGAGGAGGGCTTTGAGTGCTTGGTGTTGACGTGGAGTGAGGTTCTGGTGGATCGGTGTTGACGTGGAGCGAATGGGAATTAATATTATGACGAAAGAAAGTTTTAGGTGGTTGGTGGTGCTAAGAAGGAGGAAGACTTTGGAAGACTGGTGTTAGCCGTTCGTGTTAAGGAGATAATATAACACACGTTTATAAATAATTCCAGTAACAATGTATATAAATGAATAGTGCAAGTATATGATATGCAACAAATATCGTATTTAAATGCCATTATATTAAGCTGGGAAAACAGTACAAAACTAACTTCCTCCTCCTCTCACCTCTAACTTCCTAAAGAAAATAAGAAACCATATCTCCTGTCAATCACAGAGCTTCCTCAAGCCTCCTCATCTCACCCTCTAACCTCCAACTTCAAAGAGAGGAAAAAAAAAATCCAAATCTCACGTGAATCAAGACCAAAAACATACACAGCGGGCTCCATATACTGCAGGAACTTCCCGCTGTCTGTGCCGGTGATGTTGAAGTCCGACTCGAGACCGAAGTTGGTCACGAGGAAGTCCCCCTGCGCTGTGTGGCCGGGCTTGGCGGAGAGGTCGGCCGACGTCGCCAGGACCTCCACGCTGGCCTTCACGGGGGAGATCAGCACGGGCTGGAGGCGGCTGAAGGTGTTCCCTGCGTCGACAGCTTCCGTTAATATATTTCTTTTCCATATGATTTCGTTTTAATTACCTCTGTTGATGTTTTCTCTCTTTACTAACCTCAGTTTATGTATTTCTCTAATATTTCCATGTTTCTCTCTTTACTCACCTTACTGTACGTATTCCTTTGACATTTCCTTCCTTATAATTTCATTTCATCTACCTCTGTTAATGTTTTATCTCATTATCCGCCTCAGTTTATTTATTCTACCTACTTGAACTTTGTTATATATTCTTAATTATCGACCTGTTGATATTTCCTTCCATTATCCAACTCTATTATTATTTTCTCCCACCACCCCTTCTATCGGTTCGTATATCAAGGCAACTTAATCGTTATTTAACAATGATATCATCACTAATAATACTAAATAATGCTAAAATAATTGCCATTCCAGTTAAGAAAAAAAATGCAACTCAAACACCACGAAACAGAACAAAAACGCATCGGCGCGACCTACCGGAGTGGACTTTGCCGTAGAGTTTCATGTAGAAATGCTGCTCGGGAAGAGGTTCGGATCGGATGTAGAAGACGTCGTCGATTCCCTCGCTGTAAGGGATCGAGCGGAGGAGCGAACCGGACTGTGTGAGGAAGCACGGAGCGAGATGTTTTTTTTCTATATATTATGTATTTTTCTTGTTTATTTAGTTATGCCTTTATTAATCATTTATCTTTCTTTTTCTTGTATTGTATATCTATAACCTTTTTTCTCTTTTATACTGTATATCTTCCTCACTGTATATCCGTATTTTTTCTTGCCTAATTTATCGTGTTTCCCTTTATTCATGATATGTTTTTACTTTATTTATTCTATATTTTCCTATGTGTGTCATATCTATTTCAGAAAAATGGTAAAATCCAACACCTTTCCCTGTCCTTTTCCTAACAATATCAGATGCATTTCCAGCTAAAAAAAAAAAAAAAAAAAAAAAAAAAAAAAAAAAAAAACAGGTTACAAAAGTACTCTCCACTTCCCTTTTAACCCTTTGATACTCACCACATCAACGAACTCGACAAGGTGCACGTCTATGACCTCGCTCTCCAGGTATCCCACCAACATGACCTCCAGGTAGTACACGGTGTCTGAGAATAGAAAGAATAAAAGGTATTCGTTGTCCTTATGTAAGCTACAGGTATGGCAACCACTGATAATATTTCAGAAAGATAAACAGAGAAAGAGAAAAACCGATAGATATTTTTGCTAACAAAGAGTAATTTCAACCGAGCCTATTTGAGAAGGGAATAAAGGGAAATAAGGAAAAGGGAACGAAATAAGGGAAAGGGACGAAATAAGGGGGGGAAAATAAGGGAATAAGGGACGAAATAAGGGAATAAAATAAGGGGACGAAATAAGGGAAGCACGAAGCCCCAAACACCACGAAGGCGCCCCTGCCACCCACTGGTAAGCGGACGTCCCTCGGCAGGGCGGTAGTGCGGGTGCGGCGGCGACGGGTCCAGGATGCAGAACTCCCCCAGCCACGCCAGGGTCGAGTTGGCAGTCACGGACAAGCTGTAGTTGGAGGAGCTGTCCAGGTGCAGCTCCCACATGCCGTAGCGAGGAGCCAGCCAGCGGAGGTCCATGAGCGCCTCTGCGAAGGCCACCACCTCCACGCCCGGGGTCGCCTCCAGCGCCGCGACGTCCGTCAGGTTGTATTCCGTCCCTGGAAGGAAGGCTCGGGTTCTTTGGGGGAGAAATGTGGGGGAAGGCGGCAGCAGAGGGAACACAGGGGGGGGGGGTGGCATAATGGACATCATATTACAAATATATCGATTTGAAATATAGAAACAAAAAAGAAAACAGGAGGATAGAAATGATAAAAAATTGAATACAATAAAAGATAAAATAGAATACAAATAAAGATTTTAAAAAAATAGAATACAAATAAAAGATAAAAAGAACTGAATACAAATAAATAATAAAAGATAGAATACAAATAAAAGATTAAAAATAATAAAAAAAACAAAACGAAAAATACGTTATTACGCCGCGAGACCCGACCTGTAATATCCCGCAACACAGCCTTGTCCATGTGGCCAGCGAGATGGATGGTGAAGTCGAGAATGGAATCGTCGATCGGGAGGTCAATGACCTGCGCCCCCGTCAGGTCCTTCAACACCGTGATATCTACCTAATGAGAAAAAAAAAAATCCAATTCATCAGAAAAAAAGAAAAGAAAAAAAAAAATAAAAAAAAATCCAATTCATCTCAGAAAAAAAAATAGAAAAAAACATATTAAAAAAAAAAAAAATCCAATTCATTCAGAAATTCAAAAAACATGATATTACACCCTCAAATTCTCCTCCCTTGACGAGAGAACCAGAGCCTGACCGGAGAGCAACTTCAGAAAGCTGGAGGACGACTCACGTCTGAGCTCTCGACGCTGTCCCCGAGGATGGGCGTGATGAAGTCGACGTCGAACTTGTTGGACGGGATGAACAGACCTCCGGTGGCGTCGGCGAGCTCGCGGTACTCGGGGACGCCCGTGACCAGACGCGCCGCCGAGCTGGTGATCTTGCCGCTGTACACGATGTTGACCTGGGGCGCGTGTGAGTGTGTGGGAGGGGCTGGGAAATCATTCTCTTCCTCTATACACACACACACACACAACACTAATATATATATATATATATATATATATATATTATATATATATATATATTATATATATATATATATATATATATATATATATATATATATATATATATATATATATATATATATATATATATATATATATATATATATATATATATATATATATATATTATATATATAATTTTATATTGTATATATATTATGTATATATATACATATGCAACACCATAACCTGCAAATTCAACAAAAAGTTTAGTCTGGTCACTACACCAGGAAAGACCAATCTAACTTTTTGCATCAATGAGAAACCCAAGCCACATCCCAACCCCCTCGGAACCACCCATTCTCCACCAAAACGACTCCTCACGGTCCTTCCTCACCCGATTGACGCTTCTCACCTTCATGGCACGACTCTGGGCCAGCGCGATCATGCTCTCCATGATGACGCCGTCTTTCCCTCCCGCGTCCGTGAAGCAGAAAACGTTTCCGTAGTCCGGGGTGCTGCTCAGAGCCAGCTGGTCGAGGGACAAACGTTTGCTGTGTCTGAGGCTTTGTGGTTTCTCGTAGAACGGATCGGTTTTATTTTCGATTTAGACGTTTCTTTGGGTCGTGAATTGTAAAGTACTTCCTCTTTTTTATGTAATTTCAGCTTTTGAAAATATTTCCTACTCTTATTTAGACTTAAAGTACTTCCTCTTGTGTAATTTCAGCTTTTGAAAATATTTCTTACTCTTATTTAGACTTAAAGTACTTCCTCTTTTGTGTAATTTCAGCTTTTGAAAATATTTCCTACTCTTATTTAGACCAATGTACTTGAAGTTACGTCCACTGAAGAATTTTTACCTGAAGGCCGTGCCAGAAGAGCTCGGGGGCGTCTCCTCCGTACTGGGCGTGGAGGGCGTTCACGGCGTCAAGGAACACCTCGGGGTCGTCGGTCTTCGTCAGAGGGCCCACTCCTGTGCAGGTGGGGGAAGGGATGCTGTATCTTTATCTTCTTTTCTCTCTCTCTCCATATTTATCTATCTGTCTGTGTCTGTATCTTCTGTCTCACTGTCTTCTCTCTCTCTCTTCTCTCTCTCTCTCTCTCTCTCTCTCTCTCTCTCTCTCTATCTATCTATCTATCTATCTATCTATCTATCTATTTTATCTCTCTCTCTTCTCTTCGTTTTATCATTCCACTTAATATGTCATATATTTTTTCATCTTTCTATGTCATCATTCTGCATGGCGATGAATCCCTTTAAAATGTATTAAGGTATTTCATAACATTTTCATTAGAGTCTCCTATTATCATATTACACCAAAATAATTACACCCAAAACGAAGCCATACTTCGGACTCCTCAAACCCCCTCAAGTCATCCGCAAGACACATCGAACAGGAACGCAAATGACAGCACTCACTCGGGTCATTATACGGTGCGAGAATGTACAGTTCGGGAGACGAGGCGTTGACGATCTGCGCGACCTGGTCCTGTACGGCGGCGATGTCGTTGCCCATGGACTGCGTCGTGTCGATGACGATGGACAGCGCCGAGCCCTGGTACAGGTCGAAGAGCCTTCGGTACTTCTCGTTCCCTACAGCGTCGAGGATCACCTTCAGGTAGTGGTCTGTAGCCTGTGGGGGAGGAATCGGTTTCGTGAGTGTGGGGAGGTTTCTTCTTTTCGGGGATGTAGGTTTTTAGAAGGTGGTCTTCTTGGTTTATCGAATCGTGCAGTATTTCTCTTTTTTCCTCCTTCCTCTCTCTCTCAATATTTCTTTTTTCTTCGTCTCTCTCTCCCTCCTCTCTCTCTCTCTCTCTCTCTCTCTCTCTCTCTCTCTCTCTCTCTCTCTCTCTCTCTCTCTCTCTCTCTCTCTCTCTCTCTCTCAATATTTCTTTCTTCTTCTTCTCTCTCTACCTCTCCTCTCCCTCTCTTTCTCTCTCTCTCTCTCTCTCTCTCTCTCTCTCTCTCTCTCTCTCTCTCTCTCTCTCTCTCTCTCTCTCTCTCTCTTCTCTCTTTCTCTCTCTTTCTCTCTCTCTCTCTCTCTCTCTCTCTCTCTCTCTCTCTCTCTCTCTCTCTCTCTCTCTCTCTCTCTCTCTCTCTCTCTCTCTCTCTCTAATATTTCTTTTTACTTTCTTCGTCTCTCCTCTCTCTCTATCTTCTCTCTCTCTCTTTCAATATTTCTCCTTTCTTTGTCTCTCCCCCTCTCTCCCCCCCCCCCCCTCTCTCTCTCTCTCTCTCTTCTCTCTCTCTCTCTCTCTCTCTCTCTCTCTCTCTCTCTCTCTCTCTCTCTCTCTCTCTCTCTCTCTCTCTCTCTCCATTTTCTCTCCATTCTCTCTGTCTCCAATCTCTCTCTCTCCGTTCTCTCCCTCCCTCTCTCCTTCTACCTCTCCCTCCCTTCCCCCCACCCACCTGCACCGCCAGCTCGGCCGCCTTCTCGTGCAAGTGGTAGTGGGGCGAGAAGCAGGGCGAGGCCGTGTCCTTGTTGATCCCTCCTTCTGCAGGCACCGAGGAGCTGTCGTCCAGGACCCCGCCGTGGCTGCACTTGCCGCCTGAGAGGGTTTTAATTTTTTTTTTTTTTTTTTTTTTTTTTTTTTTTTTTTCTGGACACAATGGGTTTGCGTGTACGTTTAAGTGTTAAGGATGATGGTGAGTGTAATAGCAATAATAATAGTGATGATGGTAAGGATAATAATGATGATAGTATATAATAGTTATGCTAATGATAATAAGGATAAGGATAACAACAATGATAATTAATGATGATGATATAATGACGATGATAATAAAATAACATTAACTTTGAAAAGGATAAGGATATACTAATAAGAGTGTAATAATAAAAAATAATGATATAACAATAATAATAAGGATAATAATGATAATGAATAATGATATAATGATGATTAATGTAATAATGAAACGAAAATGAAATAATAATAATAATAATGATAATGCTGATAATGATAATAATAATACTGATAATAATAACAATGATAATAATGATGATATAATGATAATGATCATAATCAATAACGATGAAAAATGGATAATAAATGATAATGAATAATGATAATGATAGCAATAACAACAATATCCCACTAAATAATAATGTGATGATAAAATTAAACTATCTTTTTATTTTTCGATTTCCACTTAACATTCATCTATCGCTTCTTAAAACAGAGAACCCATAAAAATAAAAACAAAAATCCGATTATTACGTTACTGAGCAAACTGTCTGTTATTTCCACATAGCTAACAACAGTACTTACCACTCATAGTACTACATATATAGTTAGTACTTACTAACAACAGTACCTACCACTCGCGGGTTTCGACACAAGGTACCCATTGGCAGCCTCCTCCACGTACTGGTAATACCCTGTGGTAAGGCCGGCTCCGCTTACCACGTTTCCGGTGCAAGGACCCTGGGATTTACAAGGCAGGAGTTACGTTTGTGTGTGTGTGAAGTGGGTGTTGTGCGAGATCTATCTATATATCTATCTTTCTGGCTATATATTTGTTCGTCTGTCTGTCTGCCAGTCAGTCACTCAGTCACTCATTCAGTCATTCAGTCAATCTGTCTGTCTGTCTGTCTGTCTGTCTGTCTGTCTATCTATCTATCTATCTATCTATCTATCTATCTATCTATCTATCTATCTATCTATCTATCTATCTATATATATATATATATATATATATATATATATATATATATATCTTATTTCCATTTAGCTATTTTGTCGTCGAGTTTATGGCTGCTTATCTCTTAAGTTTGAATATTACGGGATTCTACGACGAATAAGAAAATGGCGTTTGTGTTAATATTTTTTTTTTTTTTTTGACAGTTTGTTAGTCACTGATTTCATAATCTTAAACATTAGTTTCTTTCAGTGAAGTTTACAGGGATGATTGACGTTTTATGTAAGGGCTACGATATGCCATATCACAGGAAATTACAGGCATTACAAAAAGGGAAAATTTAATAGAGGAAAAAGAAAATGTAATCTTTCACCTTTCACACACGATTGTGGAAATTTTGACCCGAAAAAAGGATAAAATATACTTATTTCACCTTCCACAAACACCCAAAATAAACCCACCTAAACAACAGATATCTACATAAAATGTTCTACAACAACAACAACAACCTCACCTGGGTATCAGAACAAGGGGTACACACAACCTCCTCAGGACCCGCTGTGGCGTTGAAAACAAAACCCGGAAAACCCAGGTCAGGTAAAATGCCTTCGTTCCCTTGCTCGATCCAGGTGGAGTGGGAGTAGAACTTCTGGAGGGTGTGGAGTGAGAGGCCGAGGAGGGCGCGAGCGGCGGAGTAGGCCTCGTCTTGCAGGATGGAGGTGAGGATCTTAAGGAGGAGAGAGAGAGAGAGAAAGTGAGATTTTTTTTCTTGGGGAGGGGGGGGTAAAGTGGTCTGAGCGGGTTTGTAGAATATGAATGATTGCGGATATGGAAAAAAAGGAAGATCAGTTGCTATGTATGTGTATGTTTCTCATATTGGAGTAAGGCATGGAGACGAGACATTCTTAAGAATAAAACCGTCGGCAGATACACTGAAAAGTCCCATCGTTATAATCATTCTGTCCACAACGAGAACTTTTGAGCAGTTGCAAGACTCTTACCAACGAGTACCTGCTACCAAGGGCCTCCTCGGTGTCCTCGAGCCGCTCTCCATCAACTTGCAAGGCCGGGTCGTACCTAAAATCAACAAAGAAGGGAAAACACGGCTTCACTTAGACTCAAAGAAGCACCACTGCCTCTTGCACGAGAACAACATACAATATATTCTTTACCAGGAAGAATGACCAAAAGAAATATCAATATATCTTACACGAGCAGATCATACAAAATACTCTTTGCCAGAATTTAGAGAAAGAACAAGAGAAATATCACTATCTCTTCCACGAGAACATACATCCTATACTTTACCAAGATTTAGTGAAGTCAACAGGTTAATGACTGCAGCGGACTCACCTGAGCTTCCTCACGGAGTCCGCCTTGACGTTGGAGGCCGCGACCGAGTTGACCGCCTTGACGAAGCGGACGGGCGAGGAGGCGGCGCCGTAGTAGGCACGGTAGAGCTCCGTCAGGCTGGCGTCGGTGGGCACGTTGAAGTCCGGCTGCGTCAACGGCGGGTAATCCAGGAAGAAGCGGCGGATGTTGCGTCGGATGGCCTCGCGGGTGATCCACTTGTGGTCGCGGGTCACGCCCGTCGTCTGGCGAGTGGACGGGAGGAGGGAGGGAGGAAGGGGAAGGATGGAAAGGGGGAGGGAGGGAAGGGGGAAGGGAAGAGGGAGGGAGGGAGAAGGGGGAAGGATGGAAAGAGGGAGGAGGGAGGAAGGGGAAAGGATGGAAAGAGGGAGGGAAGGAGGGCTATACGTCAGGGTTTTGGACTTCGGGTATATTTTGGGGGTTCAAGAACATTTTATCATGACACTCCAATCCCTTCTTATCATCACGTGCCCCTCTACTCTGTACCAACACCTGTTTTTTTCAGCGATGACGATCCGAGCAGAGATACTGACGAGGAACCGGCCTCTGTGAAAAGGCTCCCGCACGTGATTCCCCCGAGACGCCCGCCCACTCACCTGGTCCGGACACAGGATATTGACGACATCAGGGTCGCTCGCGTTCAGGGGCGTGGCGAGGAAAGCGTGGCTCCCCGACGCCAGGAGCAAGAGGAGAGCTGCTCCTCTCAACGCCATCGCTGCCGAAGCCATTGTGACCTTGCTAGCTTTTCACACGGTTTTTATATCGCTTTTGTAAGCTCTGGAGAGTCGTTAAATGATTCCAGAACGTGCGTGACACATCTAGAATACTCATTTCTTATCTTTTTCGTGTTGTTTTCATCTATTCAACTTTCGAAATTCAAATGAAAATATTTTATTGATGCGCAGGTAGACTGTATTTATCTACAGAAGGTAAAAAGCTCCAATCTTTTTGCCAGGCACTGTGAGAACCGAGACAGCCTCAAGACGTTGATAATGGAAGAGGGACAGAAAGATTCGAGATTGGTCTTCCTTAATTATACAACAAGGCAAAATAATGTTTTATTTATTGATACCAATCATAAAATTATCATAAAAATATATGTATGAAATAAATACGTAAATAAAAAGGACCACAGAGGCAAAGCTTCAATATATATTATTCTCTGATCCTAAAACAAAACAAAGTATTTTTTATGATAAAAAATATAAAATGAAATTAAAAAGAGATAGATAATACTAAAAAAAAAACATTGGAGGGTCGAAGGGATCATTATAATTATTATCAGTAGTAGTGTTATCAAAATTCGAAGCATACCTCCGCCAGGGCAATGGGGTCACTGCTGGCATCTCAGTTGGACTACAATACACTTCTGGTAAAATATTCATAAAAATCTGTTCATAACTTTTTGAGTTGTCCTGCGCAGAATCTGGTTCATCACTGCAATTTAATGTCATCTAATTTGGACGAATTAACACTTCTGGTAAAAAATCATTTAAAAATCTGTTCAAAATGTTTGAACTATCCTGCTAACCAACTAACCAGCTAACAGACAAACAAAAATCCCTGAATTCGGATCACCACCATAATTTAATGACATCAAAGTTGGTATTAGACACACCTCTGGTAAACAATTCATAAAAATCTGTTAATAACTTTTTAAGTTATCCTGTTAATCAACTAGCCAAGGAACAAACAAAATAATCCTGGATCCGAACCCCCACTAAAATTTAACGGCCTTTAAAATGGACTAAGACACACCTGGTAAAAAAAAAAAAAAAAAAAAAAAAAAAAAAAAAAAAAAAAAAAGCCCCCGCTGATCGACGAACAAACAAACTTACGAACGCTAACATAAACTTAGCTTCCTTGGCTCAGGTAATTATTGTTGGTATCCTTATTATTATCACTATCTTTATATTAGTACCATTATTGGTATTACTACAACTACTTATAATCATTACTATATTATCATTATCATCATTAATTATCATGGGTCGCAGCCTTGCAATTATTTTTTGTTTCAGTAATTCGACTCATAATCATCATCATCAGCAGTATCACTGTTGATCATATTACTGTCATTATCATTATTACTACTGTTGTTCTTATATTTTTGGTTAACATTATAATCGTTATCATTAATCTAATTATTATCATATCGCTGTCATCATGGGGAACATGATTATTGTCCTTACTGTAATTACTGTTATCATATTTATCCTCATTATTCTCCCTCTTTCGTGTCTCCTTATCAGTATAATAATTATCATCATATTATATTCATTATCATTTAACTCCGTTATCATCCTTGTCATAATCATTATAACTATTGTCGGTGTTGTAAATAGTTGTTATCGCTGTTGTCATTCTCGCTTGCAACAACCAATGGAATTATCATTATCTTTATTATCTTTATATTTTTCTTTTGACTTCTTATATCATCTTTATCATTAGCATCCCTGTTGTTACCCTCATGTCTCTTACTGAGTTTGGAAATATTGTTATCTATTCTGCTATTTTTAGAATTTTTTTTTTTCTTTCCTCTCTCTCTAATGACTGGAGGGAAATCCAAAAATTTATCATGTTTTAACGTCACTGTGAGACTAAGTTAAGTGTCATTTGTCTCTGGCACTCATGGTTAAGCTTTATTTGCATTTCTTATTCTTCATTACTAGTTATTTTTACTTTCGTATTATTATCTATTATTACTTTTTTATTCCTTCTACAGCTTTCGTGATCTCGGCCTGACTTTCTCATCTAATCCCTGTAACTCCATTTCAGAACCAAGGCCTCAATATCCAATTTCAACCTACATTGAATTTAATAACGTAAACGATAAATAATAAAAAAAAAAATTGTGGTGAAACATAAGACGGAAAAAAAAGACATTTTTCCTTTATTTCATTTTATATCATTATCATTATTTTGTACGATCATTCATTTTATTCATTTTCAGCGAGTAAAAAATTAAACTTCCTTTATTGAAAATATCACAATGTATCTTGTGAGCTACAGACATGACTTAAAGATAAACAATGTTCTTATTCATAACGAACATGGATTTTAATATAGGCCTACGTAAAACCAGTATTTGCACAACATCGCTTTCGTTATCTATGTCCACATATAACTTCCTTGTTCTTTCTTATCTACACTTGTTCTTCTGCCTGATCTCTACACATACTTGCCCATGACGGAATCCAAAGGTGTTTTTATTAATAGATTATTTCATGAACGCTGAGGGTAACTGGATGTGTGGAAGGTTAGATAACATCATTGTAGTTTTACAGTCTTCTGAAACTCCTAATGTAAGAGAAATGTTAATGATAGATTATCATTATTATCATTATTTAGGTGATGGATCGGAAAGAACAGCAGTCTGTGTTCGACATGTACTTATCTTTATTTTAGTTTATTTTTTATTTTCTTTCCTTTTTTTTAGTAAGGTCAGTGATTCCCTGATTCCTTTATCTATTTACCCGCACGAAGAAGAAGAAAAGGAAGAAGCAGAAGAAGACAAGGGAAAAGAAGAAGAAGAAGGAGAAAAGAGAAAAATTAAAAGAAAAATGTGTATGTAAATGTATGGAAAGAAAACACGGAAAGGCATATACCATTAATATTTTACTTATCATAGCTTTGATGAAGAAAAAAAATCCAAATAGCCAAGGATTATTGAACAAGAAAAAACGAAATATACCAGTTATTATCAATAGGCCGTTGCTGAGTCACTGAGTCAACAAGTAGTCAACCAATGCTAACTACTTTCATCAAAATCCGCTAAGATTTTTGGTAAAACTCTAAAGAATTTCCGCTAGATTTGACTAGAAAATTCGCTAGTTTGGCGAATATCAGTATTTTGCTCACAAGGTTAAATAATAATAAAACAAATGGATTACACCACGTAAAAGGGTCTGGCACCTGCCACGTATTTTATTTTATTTTATTTATTTATTTATTATTATTATTATTATTATTATTTTTTTTTTTTTTTTTTTTTTTTTTTTTTTTTTTTTTTTTTTTTTTTAGAATTACATTGTAATATCTTTGTTAACCATTCTTCAGGTATTTTATGAATTGGATCGAATCGCATTCTGTTTCAGTTTTCAGAATGACAACTCTAATCTAATCCTGAAGACTGAAAACAAGTATATATATATTTTCGTAACAGTGTATATAAATAATTGTTTTCGTGGTGCTAATCTACATATGACATTGAGTAATGCATTTCTCAACCTTTTTTGGGTACAAAGCCAGCAGCTGCTCCCGTTCACACCATACAAAAAACAAAAAACAAAAAAAAAAAAAACAAAATAAACAAAAAAAAAAGATATTTGGATATTTGGAAGCTATCAGAAAAAAAAAATATATCCAGCCGCTTATTTTGACAGACTAACGACTCTGTGACCTTCACCTTTGTTTGTTTCATAGTTTCAGTTAAGTTCACTCTATTCTATTTCAGTTCCGTTCAGCTTCGTTTGGCTTATCACTTTAGTTCAGATTCATTTTATTCAATTCAGTAAGACTTTCCTCTTGTGCAGTTCAGTTTAGTTCAGCTCAGTTGTTTACTTCAGTTCAATAGAGATTAGTTTAGTTCAGGAGAGTTCTCTTTAATTTTGATCAGTTCAGTTCACTTCAGTTCATTACTGTGTAACTGATTACAGTTTAGTTCAATTCATTTCAGTATCATTATCATTATTGTTACAATCATTATTACTATTACCATCATAACCTTTCCTATTATCTTCTATCATCACTACCATCATCATCATCATCTTTATTACAAGGAAGTTATGCTTTTAGTACGTTGGTTAGTTAGTTTGTTGGTTAGCAGGATAACTCGTAAATATATGAACAACTTAGATGTAATTAAATTTTGGTGTCGATCCGGATCCTGATTCGAATCCATGAATATTTTTAGAGGATGGCATCAGTTGCCGCTCCTGGAGAGACAATAGGGGTAACGATCATTATTATTAGCACTGCGAGGTATTATTATTATCATTACCATTATCATTATTGTTATTGTTATTGTTATTGTTATTGTTATTGTTATTGTTATTGTTATTGTTATTGTGTTATTGTTATTGTTATTGTTATTGTTATTGTTATTGTTATTTGTTATTGTTATTGTTATTGTTATTGTTATTGTTATTGTTACTGTTATGATTATGATTATGATTATTTTAAGGCTTCTGCGGAGAAAGATACGAATAAAAATGACGCAGATGAATAAATGAATACGTTCATGAATATTTGAATAAATGAAAATACTGATAATCTGTTGTTGTTGTATTTTTTTTATTGCCATCATGACTCTTGACATCACTCCTACCTTCATCATCATTTTTTATCATTTTCTGAGGAAGATCTTTGGATATATACCAATAACTAACTTCCTATTCGAGTATTTACATGAATCAGTAATTACGTCGCTCACAAAACACCTATACTGTAATTGCAATGACATGAATTGAAATGCAACAACATGAAATTGCAACAACATACACAACAAAATTGAATTGCAACAACATCCACAACATATAAAATTGAAATGCAACAACATACACAACACATAAAATTGAATTGCAACAACATACACAACACATAAAATTGAATTGCAACAACATACAACATCAACATACACGACAACAACAACATACAACACATAAAAATTGAATTGCAACACATACACAACACATAACAACAACATCCATAAAAATTGCAACAACATTGCAATTGCAACAAC